CATTTTTCAGTTGGGTTATTTGTCTTTTTCCTGTGGAGGTGTTGTAGTTTCCTATATATTTTAGAAATGAGTCTGTATATTCCCTGAATTAGAGCCCTCACATTTGTTCCTATTTTTTCATTGATGGCCTTCATAATTCTGGGATTCACGTGTAGGTCTTTAATCCATACTGGGTTGTTTTTTGTATAAGGTGTGAGGTATAGGTCTTGTTTCAGTATTTTGCATATTGCTCTCCAGTTCTGCCAGCACCATCTGTTGAAGAGACTAGCACCTCGCCATGTGATATTTGATAGTATTCTTGATGTCATTCCACAACTCTTCTGGTCTTTGGTCACTAGTATCTAATGAATCAAATCTGTTCTTGAGATGATATCTAAATCAAATGAGATATACTCAAGGTTCTATTTTGATTCTTGTGGACTTGTTTTAACTTTCTTCCACTTCAGCCTGAACTTGCATATATGAACAGTTGACGATCTGTTCCACAGTCTGCCCCTGGCCTGGTTTTGCCTGATGACATTGAGCTTTTCCATCACATAGTTAATTTGAGTCAGATGTATTCCATCTGGTGAGAGTTGCATGTATAGTTTCCATTTATGTTGTTGAAAAAAGGTAATTACAATAAATAAGTCATTGGTCTTGCCAAATTCTATCATGTTATCTCCAGCATCCATTCTATCACCATGGCCTTATTTTCCAACTACTGATCCTCCCTCTTTGTTTATAAATTTGGAATTACAATGACCAGTAGTTACTAATACATCTTGATTGCACACTTGATCACATTCAAACTGAAGAAGTTGGTAGAATCCTTCAATTTCATCAACATTGGCTTTAGTGGTTGTTATGCAAATTTGACTGATATTTGTATTAACTGGTCTTTCTTGTAGGCATATGGATATTATCCTATCACAGACAGCATCATACTTCAAGACAGACTTGAAATGATGTTTTGACAATTAATGTGATGCCATTCCTCCTCAGTTTGTCATGTAATGTTATAGCGTATGCACTGAACTTCTAATCACAAGGTCAGCAATTAAAACTCCCAAACTGCTTCTCAGAAATCATCTACAGGGTTGCTAGGAGTCATAACTTACTTGACAGCACTTAATAACAAAAACAACATCATAGTAAACCATGATTGTCTGATTCAAAATGGTCAATACTTGTCCATTTAAGCTCATTAATACCTAGGATATCAAACTTCATGCATTCCATTTAATTTTTGACAATATCCAAGTTTTTCCTAAATTCATACTTTGTGTATTTTACTTTCCACTTGTTAATGTATTTTTGCAAATGTTTCTTCTTGTCTTGAATTGTTCCCCAGCAGCAAATGAAGTTCCCTAAAGATCTGCTTCATTCATGTCATTGAGGACAATGCTACTCCATCCATGTCATTAAGGTCGTATATTCAATGCCTTCCAACCTGAGGGGCTCATCTTCCAGCATTGTATCTGACAACGTCCTGCTATTCATAATGTTTTCAGTAACTAACCATTCAGAAGAGGTCCACCTTTTCTTCTTCCCAGATTTTCTTAGTCTGGGAGCTCTACTGTCCACAATGAGTGACACTGCTGGTATTTAAAATACAAGTGGCATAACTTTCAGGATCACAAAAGCATACAGTCACCCAAGTCTGACAAACTGACTTTGACCAGTAGTAGACTTCAGAACCTGGAGTTCCTCAATCATGACATGCTCTACTCCTCCTGATCTTCTCCCCTCCCCTGTTACAAAGAGAATACCCTTCAAACTTTATGCTTTAAGGAATTAAGAACATCTCTGTAATCTGCCCATAACATCTCAACTTGGAAACAGATCAGTAAGCCTATGCAAATGATCAGACCTGAAGAAAACAAACAGATTTACAGAAACACCACCACAAGAATCCAACTTTCTGAGCTAAAAAGGAAGAAGAAGATTATTCATGAACTGACTTTCCAATTATGTAAAATAAACTCAGATCAGCAAATTGATGAGATAGGAAGAACCAGGGGATTCTGATTGAGACTTTTCTGCATCAAGATTATTTCATCTAAAAGTTGTGACTTAGAACTTACAGAATGCTCTTTGTCATCATTTTGCGTTTGGTCCAAAGGGGCCAAAAGGTAGGTGGGACAATTACTGTGTATTTATCTCTAATGAGGCTCTCAGGGAATCAGGCCCCAATGGTCATGGAGACTCCTGTAAATGCCTGCTCTGTGACTTCCCCATACATCTTTCCTGCACAGAGAGCTAAGACCATGAATCCCTATTCCTTATTTGCTCAGGTATTACCTTTACGCCCAAGACTATCCAATCCCCACAATAGAGAGAAGCATTGGACAGTCATAGAGAATGCAGAACTCATGAGCGCTACAGAACCAATCTCCCCCAGGTAAGATTACAGCAGAGGAGACTTTTCCATATTTGCTTTTTAAGATACGAAGTTCTCCTAGGAAATTCTGCTGTTAAATCTTGCAGCTCTAAGGAGTAATAACAAGAATGCGGAATCCAATGGAGCTCTGGTAGCATAGTGGTTCAAAGTTGGGCTGTCAACCCCAAGGTCAGCAGTTCAAAATTACCAGCTGTTCTGCAGCAGAAAGGCGAGGCTTTCTGCTCCTGTAAAGATTTACAGCCTTGGAAACCCTATGTAGGGTCACTATGAGTTGGAACCTACTCCACAGCACATAATCACCACCGCCAATAATCAGTTATTTCTATTGTCATTTCATGAGCTACTAAGGCATGAAAGAATGACTGTTGTTGTTAAGTGCTGTTCAGTTGGAGGAATTACTAGAAAATGTTAAAAGGGACATGAACAATCACAGAAATGAGCTGAGTATGTCTTTGTGTGTGTGCTTCATGTCATGTTTTATAAACATCAAAGGGTGAGTCAAGAGGGACCAGCATCATCTAAGACAGGCAGCAATCCTTAGTGAGCAACTCTGATAAAGTGAATAAGACCAAGGTTGGAGCCTGACTTGTCACATTTGAAACCCTCAGTTCCTAGATTTCTGCTTGTGTTTATCTCCTCTGCATCTGTAATAGACCCAGCTGCTGGGCAAACCAGTCGAATGTCTCAGAGTTCCTCCTCCTGTGGCTCTCCAGGCAGCCCCAGCAGCAGCAGCATCTGCTCTTCGGGCTCTTCCTGAGCATGTACCTGGTCACAGTCCTGGGAAACCTGCTCATCATCCTGGCCATCAGCACAGACTCCCATCTGCACACCCCCATGTACTTCTTCCTCAGCAACCTGTCTTTTGTGGATGTCTGTTTTTCTTCTACCACCATCCCCAAGATGCTGACCAACCACATACTTGAGAGTCAGTCCATCTCCGTCCCTGGGTGTCTCACACAGCTGTATTTTTTCATTGTGTTTGGGGACATGGACAATTTCCTTTTGGCAGTGATGTCTTATGACCGGTTTATGGCTGTATGTCACCCCTTACACTATACAACAAAGATGACCCATCAGCTCTGTGCTCTGTTGGTTGTCGGATCGTGGGTCACTGCCAATCTGAATGCTCTGCTGCATACCCTGCTGACAGCGCAACTCTCATTCTGTGCCGACAACACAATTCCCCACTTCTTCTGTGACCTGCTTTCTCTCCTGAAACTCTCCTGCTCTGACACACGCTTCAATGAGATGATGGTTCTTATTGAGGGAGCCCTGATAATGATGACTCCATTTGTTTTCATCCTGATTTCCTACATTTGCATCACCTGTGCAGTGTTGAGAGTCCCATCCACAAAGGGAAAATGGAAAGCCTTCTCCACCTGTGGCTCCCACCTGGCTGTGGTTTCCCTCTTCTATGGCACCATCATTGCTGTGTATCTCAACCCTGCATCCTCCCATTCAGCTGAGAAAGACACCGCAGCTACTGTGATGTACACAGTGGTGACCCCAATGCTGAACCCTTTCATCTACAGCCTCAGGAACAAGGACATGAAAAGGGTTCTAAGAAAACTGATTGACAGGAAAACAGGTTCTAGCTGGTGAAATAATCATGACATATCACTCCAAGGTATAAAAATATTTGTCAACTCATTATAATATAGCAATAAATTTGTGAGAGTCTGTAAGGAACTTGGACTAATCACCATAGATACCTATCAGTGAACTCTGATTTAACTACAATCTGCTGTGGATAATGATATTTGCTTCTAATTGCTGTATTATAAAGTATTTTGCATAAGGATTAAGCTTTTTCTCTCTAAGTGATCACTTTGAAAATCTCCAGCTAAGCAATATTTTTTTTCTCTTCCCTTGAAAATGTTCTCAGAATTTGTAACCTAAATGTGTTGTCTTCCAACCACTTTGGATACATAGTGACCCTATAATACAGAGGAGAGCTGTCCTTTAGGGTTGGCAAAGCTACAAAACTTTAAGGTAGCAGACTGCCATATTTTTCTCCCATATAGTGCCTGGTAGGTGTTCTGGTAGCATGGTGGTTATGAGTCAGGCTGCTAATCTCACAGTCAGCAGGTAGAAACTACCAGTGGTTCCATGGGAGAAATACGAGGCTTTCAGCCTCTGGTGACCATATTTGTCTACTGGTGAGTGGAAGGGGAAAGGCAGCAATGAAGATATGGGTCAAGTTCAACCACGTTCCATAAACTCCCATCAATCTGGAGATGAGAGAGAGAAGAGGAAGGGATACTTGGTCCAAAGTGTGGTGAGACCTGGGGACACCTGAGCCCATGGACAAGGATAAAGTCCCAGAGGGCTAGAGCTGAGAGTGTAGCATCCAGTGGATATGAAATGAGGGGAGCTGCACAAGAATGTCCAAACTTGTAGATAGAACACCCAAACTTGTAGATTGTCCTAGCCTTGATGGCTTGATGATCAGAACTCAACTACAGGAAGATAAAATAAAATAAAAATTTTTATAAAGGAAACAAGTGTAAATTGCCACAATTTGATGAATTTGACCTGTACTTTTGGTGTAGTAGCTCAAAATACCAACTAAGAGGGAAGGAGTCTTCACATCAAGTATCAGTCCTATCCCCTCTGTACACAGGGTAGATAGGGAATGGGCAACTTACAAATTGACTACCTAAAATGAGGGGGCTTTAAGGCACGAAGTGACTGGCTTACAAGTTTTCAAGAGGGACTTTAGTTTCAGTGGGGAGGGGGGTAGAATCCCCACTGAATAGTTTTCATCTGTCTAGGTGTGTCTGGTGAAAGGAAATGGGGAGAAGATTTTCATGATTCAATAGTGAATAACTGTTATCATGACTAACTGTAGTTGTCACAACTCTAAAGGTATAAGTTTTGTAATGAAAAGGGGGCAGTAGTTAATCTTACAGTCCAGGAACAGAAGACCCTAGGACCACCAAGGGAAAAGAGCATGAGTGGAATGTGGGACCCTATCCAGAGAAGCAGCAACACCAGAGAGAAGGCAGAGATGAGAACATGGAGAGAGGGAGCAGCTGAGGACGCTAGACTCATGGAAAGAGAAAGGCTGTGTGCTGGCAGCCAGGAGGCAGGCTTGCAGAAAGTGCCCTTTAGTTGTTTAAATGATTATATGTTCCTGAGTGTTTTTGTGTACACCCCCTCCAAAAGAAAATAATAATAATAATAACCAAAGGGAATAGAAGCAAATACTGTTGAATGATGATACACAAAGGAGACTGTAATCATTGCAATGAAACTATCAGTGTAAATCTGATGTTCTCCCATGTAAACTATCAGTCAATTCACAATAAAAAAATTTTTAAAAAAGAAACAATGAAAAGATTTACTGCCTTGGAAACCCTACAAAGTGTTGCTAAACAGGCTGGGTTTGAAGTGCCAACATTGGAGTTGAAATTGACCTGGTGGTTCAGTGCATTATTCTGCAGCATCACACCAGGACTCCATATGTGTTCTGCAATTTGAAAAAATGAAACATAAACCAGAAAATAGTAAGTATTGATGAGGATGTGGGGAAAATGGAACCATTTCCGATTGCTGGTTTGAAAGCTGACACTCAAAAGGAGACATGTGACCAATGGCCACTGCAGCACTATTCACAGGCAACTAAAGACGGGAATAAACGAAGTGGCCATCAACAGACACTCTAATCAAGTCACTTCTGACTGATAGCAACTCTACATAGGGTTTCTGAGACTGCAAATCTTCATTGGAGCAGACAGCCTCTTCTCCCAAGGTCCAGCTGGTGATTTTCACCCAGAGAACATACAACAAAAACAAAACAGAAGAGTAGCTGCTGAAACTGCTTATGTGTACTCAAAAATCAAAGATTAGGTTTTAGGTTTGGATATTTAGGGTCATGGTTATGCACCATCATATTTAATTTTCCGGGTGTAGTGCTGTAGGATAAGCACCGGACTGATCACCGCAAGATCGGTGGTTCAAACTCACCAGTCCACTCCTTGGAAACCTATACAGGTTGCTATGAGTCAGAACTAACTCAAGAACAGCACTTAATAATTATACACATTTGAACTTTAGCTCTTTTCTCACCTAAAACAAACTGTATCATTAAGATTTCTTCAAAATTACATTTTAAAATGCTATAATGGAATTTTGAAGCATTTAAGCAATTGTTGTTGCTGTAAAGTGCCATCGAGTCAGTTCAGACTCATAGCGTCCCTGAACAGAGTTTCTGAGGAGCGGCTGGTGAGCTTGAACTGCTGACCTTGAGGTTCAAACAGACCTTGTGGCGCAATACACTAACTCACAGCGTGACATACAACATGATTAACGTGGAATATTTGAGGGCATAAACGAAAAGCATACAGAAGTAACAGAAGATCTTGCTTAGTCACACAATCAAGACATTACCTCCTTCAGAACATTCCGTGTTAACATTTTTAAAAAATTGAAGTCATTCATAGTACTCAATAGTGTGGTGCCTGTTTGCTATTTAACATTTGAGGTGAGTGCAGAGTTGTGCTTCCCCTTCTACTTTGCCTTCTAGAAAGCTCTTGTGGCCTTCAGTTGTCAGCTCCTTCCAGGGTGGCCTCAGCAGCAGATAGGGACCTCTTTTGAGGTCATGCCATTCCTTGGTGGCCAACAGTCACTGAGTGATCCGGTTATACCTTAAAGGTCCTGACATTTCATACTTGCCAGTGACAACGCTGATGGATCAGGTACTGTCTGGAGCTCCCTGCTGGGCTAGTTGTGACTGTGTGCAGCCTGCATTGGAGTTTCACTTTTCCCATCACTCATTCCTATTTCCACCACCTCCTTCCAGAGCTGTGGATCTCTGTAAACAACTTGTACCAAGCAGTCACGATGGCATGTGCTTTTGGAGAACCCAATCTGAGACAGCATTTTAGTAACAGTAACAACAGCACAACCACAATAACAAAAACAGCTATATCTTATTAGTAAACCAAAGGTCAGGTACTCAGTTCTGGTCCATTTGCCATATTCATTGAAAACAGTATTTAGCATTTTTTAAAAAAAGCTTTTATTGTGAATTGAATGAAGGTTTACAGGGCAGATCATCAGTTTTACATTCAACAGATCATTGCAATGATTACAATCCCCTCCATGCACCATCAGCTAATGGTATTTACCTCTATTACCTTTTCCTTTTTTTTAATGTTTCAATTTTAATTGAAAATATATATTTGTTTAAATGTCCAAAGGGCATATTTTGCAAGCCAGCATCCTGCCCACAGGTACATTGTCTTTCTCAGTCTATGGGCCTATAGTCCTCTGCTGCTTCTATCTCTCTATGCCATCATCCCTGCCACCATCTCTGGTGTCACTGCTTTTCTAGTTAGGATCCCTCACTCCTCTCATGTTGTCCCCTCTTGATGGTCCTAGGGTCCCCTGTTCCTGAAATGACTGATTAACTGCTCTCCCTTTAGTTATGCCTCTTCTACATTTACAATTGTGACAATCGCCATTAGTCCTGATAGCAATTACTCACAATTGAATCATAAAATCCTATCCCCATCATCACCAGACCCATCTGGACAAGAGGAAGACTAATTAGTGGGGATTTTATCTTACCCCACTCATCTGGCACTAAGAACCCTCATGAAAGCTTGTGAGGCAGCTATTTCGTGCCTTTATTGTTGTTGTTAAGTGTCATCAAGTCAGTTCCAACCCATAGCGACCCCATATAGGGTTTCCAAGGAGCAGCTATTGAGCTTGAACTGCCAACCTTGCATTTGAAACTGACTTTGCAGTCCAGCACATTAACCCACAGCACCACACCAGGACTCCTCATGCCGTTCCAATTTTGATAGCCAAAGACTAAGTTGCCCGTCCATAGCAACCCAGTATACTGCAAAGTATACTTGATACTTGATATAAAGAATCCTTCTCTTTCGGTTAGAATTCTTGGCAATTTCATCCGTAAGCAAATTTTATTTAAAAATATACCTTTGCAAAATACAATGATGCCATCCACTCATTATACTTGATTTCTTGTTCATTGGTGTTACTTAACATTAGTTTCTTTATAATCTCATGTATTTTCTAGCTATTTACACATGATTTTCTCCTTGTTCTCTATCTCACTGACTTCTTTATTTCATCACATCCAACTCTATCATCCCCATATATGTCTTTTGTCTTCCTTAACGGGTTTATTCTTCTACTTCTTCCATCTGCTTCTACTCTATCTCTCTGGACAATGACATCCACTCTATGTCTTTAACTGAATTGCTTTAATGGGAACTCGTAGTCCTTGTCTCTGATCTTAATTTCCCAAACTCATCAAGTAGATCAAATTAAAAATTTGATGAAAATAAACAAATCTGCCCTCCCACTCCAAACCCTCCAACATGACACCAAAACTAATTTTTAGAAATCAATCAAACTACATATGTTTTGTAACAAGTCGCTGGCATTAACAATATTCAAAGCATCTTATAGTTCCCAGTGCT